GTCATTATCGGTAATTCGAGTTTCTAATTCGTTCGAAACTATAGACTTAGTATTTTGACTTCAGAAACATCTAATTTGAACCAGTGCTGCATTGAAAATACCACGTGACACACAAAAATCGATGTTTATCTGTGTTTTGATAATATTTACTTTTAAATTAAGAAATTGTGTAATATATAGTACTAAAATTTGAATTATAATTTACAATTTGATACCAAAATTGACATAAATTCATGAAATAGCAGTTCAATAAACTTTTGAATGTGAGTCAACAAATGAGATGACATGGCCTTTCACCTGTGACCCATCTCAAAAGGATTATCTTGATTATTGTCATATGAAGTAACGATTTAATGTGACGAGAATAATCAACTATCAGAACTAGTGTTTCCTATTATTCCAACTTTCGAAGTAATTGAAATATTGCCATTGTAATGAATTTATAAATTTTGGTCTTGTTCATTGTTTTAGATTCATTGCATAAGGCTATAGGTCCAGTGCTCTTGAGGGTTAAATAGAATTATACTCAATGAATTTATAACTTTCAGTCTTGTTCATTTCTTTAGATTCATTGCATAAGGCTATTGGTCCAGTGCTCTTGAGAGTTAAATAGAATTATACTCAATGAATTTGTAAATCCATGTTTATTTAAGTATATTACATAAACTTACATTCTACCATTAGTGTTTATAAAGTAATGCACATGCATTAATTTTCTACTTTTTTAGAACATTATTTGTGTGATGACATATTCCATATTAAGCAAGGGTCAAATTTTATCAGTTTTGTGCATGTCTTGGGCCTCTTGCATCTTTGAGACACATTTGGGCAACTGCATCCGAGTTGCAGTTAAAACAACCATATTATGGTAATTTTGCAATCGTGTACTGATGCACAAGATGTAAATACTGATTTTTTTCACACGTTACAAAAATTGACTTAGTTAAGACTATTAAAGAGTAAGGTGGCCAAATTTTAATTTCTAAACAAAGATAAAACTTTTTTAAACACTAAACATGACAGATATTTTCATACAACTATGAATAACTGAATTTTTGTGGCAAAAATTATAACTGACTTTTTAGTAGTGTTATAAATAGGTTAGACATTAATTACCACTGGATTATCTGTTTGTATAGAATATGATAGTTTACCTTGTAACTATGCTTATACAACAAAAAATCACTATGTATTTTTGAACATTCCAAAACAGACATGAAATTATATATTGAGGTTCATCATAAGTTAAAAGCTGAACTTGGAATTAGATTTGCTGTTGAACCTCTTATAACATTAATTGATGTGCAGTAGAATTAATTTCTGGTACTACCAAAAATGATAGTTTGGTGGCCCATTTGAGTCAATTGGATTATTAGGTTTAATTTCAGTATCTATCAATTCAAGTAAATTACATGTATTATGTTAGTAATTCTACCTTTCAGACCTTGAAGTACATTAAAAAATTTAAATAATTATTCATAAATTGAAGAATGTGCTTCAGTCTTAAACTGATTAAGCATTGAAGAGGTATTTTGAAAGAAGCATATAGTTTTTTTACAAATTTTCTGACTAAAAGAACAGAAGATTATACTGATTGGTATTGCGCCTATTAATTTTCAGCCTTAGTTATTATTTTTAAGGTTTTTGTAAACACCTCTAGTACTTTAAAGCTATACATCTCAGCTTTCTCTAATACAGTTTGATGTATAATTACTTCATTTATGTTTACTATAGTACACACAATTATTTTCTTTTATTTTTATGATAACACAATTGCAGTAAAAAAAGTTATTATTATTATTGTTGTTTTGATATAAAAGTGATTTTGAGTGCAAAATATTAAGTTAACGTTCAATTTTCTAAAACTCTACCTATTAATGGAAAATGTAGAAGACTAAAGCTTTGTTGGAATCTGTTTTTAAGAACTTTTTGAATTTGTTCTTGCATTAAACAGTGAAATATGCTTATTAATGCCTTCCCTGATTTGTCCAAATTAATTCGAGCAAACCATTTCTTCCCATATTTTAAATCATTTTGCCTGAAATAATTCAAATGTTATTGTATTACAATCAATGCTCACTAGATGGCATTGGAAACAATGTTTATGCTGATCTCTATCAGATTTATTCTAAGTTATCTATCATAAACTCAGGAAAAAGTATTTGTATTCTTTTCTGTAGATTCATTGAAATAATGTACATCATGTACAAATCCTGATATGTAACATTTATTTATTAGTATATTTTGTATAGAAATATGATACATCATAAAGGAACTTTTGCTTTATAAATATATATTTCCAAAACAAGTCTGACACAGAATTGGTTAAAAGCTTAATGACTTTGGATGATGTGATTATGATTTTGCATTGGAAAGATAGTAATAGAAACTTGGAAAATATAAGAAGTTTACCATTGGTTAGTTTAATATTTGTATAGAACCCTTCATAATACCGTAAAATTATTTTATGACAGAAAAGTTGTTAAAGGAAATGTCTGTTGTAAGCCTTAGATTGAGTTTTGGAAATATGGTTCTTGATTAGATGGTAAAAATATTTGCATGCAAAAAATTATACATAATAGGACTTTTCTAGTCATCCATATTTCTGTAGTAGTATCATAAATAAGACCCAAATTTAAGGAAGCAGCAGTTTGAAATCAAACAAAGCAAATTATCTTGTAAATGTTAGACTTTTTGAGGAAATTTTTATAAGATGTAGTGTTATGAAAACTAGGTTTTTTATTTAATTTTCTTTCTTTTAATATATAAAAATTAGAAATACATGTAAATATCAATAGATATTTTTCCTCTAACCAAGAATATAAAACAATTAAAATGTTAATTATTTTGTTGATTTTTTTCAGTCATTGATATGAGTAAGATAGTGTTTAATACATTTTTATAAAACAGTGAAGATATTAAAAATTTCTAACAACTATATGATCTTTATACACTTCATTTAACCACTGATTTGATAACTTGTATATTTTATATCTGTTCATAGTTTCTTCATATAAATAACAAAATTATACATTGTATTTTTAAGTCATTTCATAATTTACTCAGCTTGGTTACAAAATTACATATTTTGGAAAAAAATGTAGCTTTTATATATATTTAGTATTTGTTTCATTTGTGTTTTATGGTTACTAGTTCATTCTCATATGCTGTAGTAAGTTAACTAGGGCTTATAAGTTATAAAAAGGAATAGAAGGGTAGTTTTTTAATGATTATACTTTAAAACCCCTTAGTGAAGTTTTAGGCAACTTGAAGTTATAAGCTTACTTTTGATTAGACTTGTGTGCATTCCTATTAACCTGCTTTCACTTGCATTAGTTTACTCTAAAGCTTATCTTTGTAGTGTGAATTCCGTAAATTGTAAAATATCCAGCACTAAGTTAAAACACTGTTTGTGTTCAAAAAGGGTTGATGGTGGAGTGGCCAACAATGATTTTTTGGTTCAGTTGATTGCTGACTTGACAGAACAACCAGTGGATCGACCAAAGCAGCGGGACATGTCATGCTTAGGAGCTGCATTTCTAGCAGGATTAGCAGTTGGTACAGCATGTTTTATATGTTGGTGTTTATTAGTATTGAAAAATGGTAAAAGGATTAGCCTAGGAGCATTTGTATAATTGTTGATCGGTATTGAGAAACATTAGCAAATTTAATAAGATAAAATTTATTTTGGATTGCATTTGTTTTCCTGTATTTCATTGTAAATAGTCATATTTTTGTACCTAAAGAACATTTTCCAACTTTCTGAGTACATTTTTTAATGTTTGACAATAGTTTCACAGTAAACTGTGTTGCTTTTTTACTTGTTTGGTTAAAATAGTAAATATATTAGCATTTAATGAATATTAATTAGCTCTTTTTTTTTGCAGGAAGAAATGTCTAAAAAGAAAGTTGGCAGTAATATTTACAGTTTAAGGCCTATTCAGTTACTATGAAAATAATGATAAGCTTCGTTTTACAATTTGCCTTTCTTTTTCTTTGCGTGTGTGTGTGTACATGGTATTGTAAAGGAATTAATTATTACTATTGTTGTATTGTGTAATGAAAAGTTTTATTTGGTAGGCATTTGGAGTTCCATAGAAGAACTGGAAGAATTACGTAATGAAGAGCGGGTATTCCAACCTTGCGATAACTGGAGAGATCAGTACAAAGATGTTGTGATGACCTGGGAAAGGGCTGTTCGTAGATGTCTGCATTGGTACAAGGATGAAATCACTGTATATAGCATATAGAATAAAATAAAAATGATTATCAGTTTTTAATTCTTTATTTTCCTTTGTTATATTACAAAACTAACAATTTACTTGGGTCTGATTCTTGACGAGTAAGTACTGTGTCGGTCTTATAGGTACAAAACACATAAATAAAAAGTAAATGAACAGTTTTAATGCATTTTTCCTGTGATCAAGAATAGAAAATGATCAAAATGTTAATAGATGTGCTACACACACAGAACCATAGGGATTTGTTTAATGATTTATTAACTGCAGAGTTTTCAAGTATCAATTTAGGAAAGAATTTTTTGTGGTATTTGAGTTTGGGAAGACAGAATTGGAGTATATATTTTTACCATAGTTTTAAATGATTCTTGTATAAAATCAAGTTCTTGATGTTGTTGTTTATTTTGTTTTTATATAAAACTATTTCAGTTTGGTATTTAAAAGAGAATTCTTTTTTATATGATCTACTATAGTGGACAGTACGTGTTTGTTTGATTGAACTTCAGGATCACATAAATAGTGAAAACCAAATAGAAATGTTTGCTTACATAGTTTATTAGTTTTGTATTTTTCAATCTGATCAGAACAAGTGGAGCAAGATTTTGTTATATGGGTTTGATTAATGTGTGCATAGAATGTGCAGGGGATGAGGGTTAACAGATTTCTCTCTTCTCCGTCCATAGGGCAGTAAATTTATCAAATGTATTATTTAAGGCAGGAATAAGTTTACAATTTGTTCAATCTTCAACTCCAGTATTCGTTGTTGAATTATGCATAATTTTTTTTCTATAAATAAAGTAAGTGAATTTTTGTTTGATACAGTGGGTAATATAATATTGTTTATAATGTAATGGGTCCTATTGAAAACATGTTTCAGTAAGTATTAATTACAGTGATCACTAGTGGATTGAGGGGGGACGTGCCCTCTTTTTATCATAATTTTTACACCCTTACTCTCTAAAGTGTACCCCCCTTTTAACAGTAAATGATTTCAATACAAGATTTAATTTTCTGCCTCTCCTTGCTACAGATCAATAATTTATAATATTATATTTAAGTTTGATGCATCATCTGGATGCATCAATATAAATGATGTGTGCTGAAATTATATGGTGCCCATCCTGGCTACTGACTGATGTATTGAATGAGTTTTTCATTAGCGTTATCTGCCTTCTTAAGGAATAGCTCTATGCAAAATATTAGTTTGAAAGATCTATGTTTCTAATAAAAAAATTTTGTAATTAACAATTTATTGAGTAGAAAAGATGTTAGTTATATGAAATATAAATTTTATAAAAAAAAGTATTAGGTTTATTCTGGTATTTTATATTTTGTGTAGGATAAGGTTTACCGTAATCAGTGTACCAATATATGACTTTTTATTATATGATTAAGAATCTATGCTGTAGGTGTAAATCTTGTCTTAAATGCCAGTCCATAGATTTTGTAAATTCTTCCAGACTTAAGTACAAGATTTTTAAGTCTTTGGTTAAAATTAATATATCTACACAAAAATATTGATTATGAAAGGTGTATTTGTTCTTGTTAAAATGTATTTTTGAAAAACATGTTTTGATCTTTATTAGTATTATGAGAGTTTACAGTTTTGTTTGTTTTCTTAAATATTCATGCATGTCTATAGAAGAAAAGGTGGACTTTATGTAATTTAAAGAACTATACAAATGCTAGTTTTATGTGTCTGCATTTCTCCTTAAATCAAGAAAAAACCTTTTAAACTCCCATAATTTCACATGGTTATATATATTTTGATTAATTAAAATTAACTGCCTGAATGTAGATCAAAACACGTCTATCTCTATTGGAACTTTTACATACTGTTGGACAGTATTTCATGCTCATGTCTGTATAATTCCACAAATATTACTCAGGTTCATTATTTATCAAAAGCTCTTATGGAAGTTTCTGTGACAGCTCACACAAAGTAGTAGTGGGAATGGACATTGATTACACAAATTCTTTATACATTATGGAAAAGTGTAATAGTTGCAAACTGAAAATGTTTTTAAACATTAGATTGCAGGAAAGATCATCTGGCTACATAAAGAATAAAACCCAAAAGTTACGAATCTATACCAGAATCCACCATGTCTGAAACATATTTGGTGTCAACAGTGAACTGTACTAGTAAAATGATTTCATTTTTTTGTCGTTTGTATATTAAAATTGTTGTATTCATCTCAAGGTTTACGATGAAGCTGCAATTCTTTCATTCATGTTGTTTATTTATACATCAAAGTGAGTTTTATTAAGGCCTCAGTGGACATGACAAATTTTGTATGTAGAAACAAACATGCTACTAGTTCTCCATTATTTTAACGAGTAAAACCATGTGTGCAAATTGCACAGGTGCTTAAAATGATACATTATGACAGGAAAATAGCAAGAAAACATATACTCTTTAATATTATGAATATTTTCAGTGTATTTACAGAGTTACCAATTTTAACAAAACTATAATAAACAAAAAAAGCTATAGAGCACTGATATATTCAAAAGGTTTGTTTTAATTTTAATTTGTTTTCTTTGCTTTCTAACAAGATCCTCTTCAGAATCAAGTATATTCTTCCTCCTCCTCTGATTTCACTTAACATTTCATTTTGCTCTTATTGCCTTTGTCTGCAATCTTCTTCGTTTACCTCATGAATTAAAGATCTATTAATATGCTGCTCAACACATTTTTGTGTATAACACATTTCTATTTTTCTCAGGAGGGTTCAAAATTGTAATGTGATGTGAGACTGAATATAGCCTTTCATGCATGTGACGAAATAGCACATGTAACTAGTTTTGTGTACTTGACTTCACACGTCAAAAGAAAAGGACTGTATTATGGTAGTAATGTATGTCGTTTGCAATTGAGATGGAAATACTGCAATTAGATGAATTGCAAAGATTATTTCTACAAAAAAAAAGAACGAGATAACATAATAAATGTTTTCCTTTACCAATTTCGGTTTGTATGCCAGGTCCAGTATATTTAATTAATGTATTCAAACTTACTAGTCTACATGAAAGTAGGTTTTTTTTGTCATAATTTCAAGATGACATGATTAATGGTTTCTAGGAAGCACAACCATAAATTTATTTTAAGTTACTAATACTGGATCTCCCTTCAGTAGTAGCTGATATTTAACTGAGTAACCAAAGTTTCTGTCCACCTTAACAGTGTAGCTAACATTATGACAAGGTTTTCCAAATTAAATCTGTTTGTTTTTTTTGTATAATCTAGGTAATGTTTGATCTGCTGTGTGATGGTTGTCAATGTAATATATACTGAGCGTTGACTAGTTAATATTTTTTAAAAGTTTTGCTTTAAGTAGGTTGCTTGCTTTGATCAAAAATCAATGTGAATTAAAGTGAATATTCAAAATGCTGCCAAATTTGCCAGTTGGTTAATACTTTGTGAAAAAGAAGTGAACACTTGGTTGACCAAAGAATTTTATATTCATTTAATTTGAATCTATGATAGAAAATATGAAGATGTAAGAAATTGTTTGGATGTTTTATTAATTAATCACATAGAATATATTATTGGTTCTGATGAAAAATAATTTGTATAATTAGTTCTATAGCTTTAAAGCTCTTTGAAAATAAAGGATTTTATTTTCCTACATTTTGTTTCTGATGTACACTTCTGTTTCAAAATATACACAGTAGACATAACAGATTAACATCCACACAAGTTCTGAATGATTTACATTGGACATTAATGTAATGTTTGGCCCTGAATTCATCTCTAGAAAAAGGCCTACTGTCTGGTGACACCAAGTGTCTTAAACTTTCCTGAATTTATCTCTAAAAGAACACCAAGGATCTTGAACTTTCTTGAGTTTATCTCTAGAAGAATGCTAAGGATTTTGAACTTTCTTGAATTTATCTTCAGAAGAAGACCTACTGTCTGGTAACACCAAGGATTTTGAACTTTCTTGATTTTATTTCTAGAAGACCTAGTGTCTGGTAACACCAAGGATCTTAAGCCTATCTCTGACAAATATTTCCTTACGATAATACCTAGGGTTCAGATTCTTTCTTGAAGAAAGGTCCAATTTTTGAGAATGCAGAGGGATCTAAGCTTACACCTAAAGAAAGATCTTTTTTATTAACACTAAAGGATCAATGTTCATTCCCAATGAAAAAAACGGCTTTTGAAACTGCTTGGGCTAATAAGTTTTTTCAGTGAATGTTTTCATATTACGATAAAAAATACCAAAATTGTTCCAACCATATCACCAAGTATGTGAAAATAAACAGATTATTACAAGTAATCTCTGAGAAGATTGTTGATTTTACGACTAAACTGTACAATTATCACATTAAAAGAAAAATGCCTGTATCTATCATTCCCCCCTTTTCCACTAATGTTTTTGCTTATTATTAGTTTAGATGTAATATCAACCTCACATTGTCAAAAAAAAAAAGTGCTGTTAATAGTGACCATAATAAATCGGTTACTTATTCTGATAGTATTGTAATGTTTTAACTTGTACAGAAATGAGCATTTATGAAAAATTGTTTTAATCTCTCATGTTGAATGGCCAAGTAGTTAGGGTGCTTGACTCGGAATCTGCGGGTTCAAATCCCCCGTCCTACCAAACATGCTTGCCCTTTCAGCTGTGAGACTGTTATAATAACATAATATTTTGGGACCTATTGGTCCATCTGGGCTGTTCCATCCTCAAAACTAAATTAAAATGATTTAAAAAATTTAAACTCAGCCCTTTTCATTCATATACTTATCAAGCTGTCTCTACAACGTCTGGAGGCAACCCATTTCAAAGGCCAACCACCCTGTTAGAACAATAAAATTTTCTTAGCTGAAGATGACTCCTACCTTGCCAAAATTTATATTT